GGGGGAAGCCAAGGAGCGTCCGCTTCTGCGCAAGCGCTCTCAGTCAGCGCGGGTAGGAGGGGACGGAAGGAGGAGGAGGAAGAGGGGTGGGCAAATTTGGAACCAGCCAATGACAGCAGCATTGGCCGAGATCTGGATCGACGCGGAACCGGGAGAGGACGAGCGCGGGGCCTGAAGGGAGGGGTCCGGAGCCGGCAGCCCGGGAGGGAAGACGGAAGTAGAGCGAGGACAAAATGGCCGCGAAGGTTGTTTTGCCCATCCCCCCAAGTCCTCATTCTGTTTCCCCAACCCCCGCTTCGGCGTTGTACGGGGTCCTCTAGGCCCTCCCGGATTCCTTGTTCCCACGCTTCTGTCCAGTGTGGCTTTGGGCTAGGTCAGAGCACTAGGAGCTGGGGGGCGGGGGGAAGGTACCGACCCCTGGGCGCTGCCAGGGTGACTTGCCGCGGGCGGGGGTACGCAGATGTGGGGCTGGAGGGAGCCGCGCCCAAGCGGGGTAGGAAATGTTAGCCGGGCCAACCCCCAGAATTCTCAGTCACGATGTTGCTGAAGAAGCCGGCAGCCCTCAAGGCAGAAGTTGGAGGGGGTCCGGCCTCTCAGAACCGCCTGGGCCGGATCCTGTGCCGGACCCCCAGCGAAATAAAGAGCCAAACCTGCTTCCCCGAGTCCAAACAAGTCCGCCACTCCCCACGTCCCGCCAAAAACAGGTTCGGCTTCTCGGACTGGCTCTCTCCCCTCACCCAAATCCCGCGCTTCTCAGTCGTTTGTTAAAGAAAAGAAAACCCGAGTTTTCTCCGTGTAGGAGAGTCGGGCATTAGGAACCTGGGTTCCGGTAACCCCGTGTCCTTGATTTAGACCTTCTAGAACCTCTCTTATTTTTAGAAACATGATGTATTTTTCCTTCCTTGACTTACAAAAAAAACTAAACGACAGATCGTTTAGGGGCATCTTGAGAACATTAGTAATCGAGTCCGCAAAACAATAGTACTTCTAATTGTGGTGCGTGGTGGCAGGTATATGGGCCTTGTCATTCAAACAGCCTTTTACAGTTCCTTGAAATGTTTCCCAGGGTGTTCTTTCAAACAGGCAGGGCTGCTGCTGTCTTGTTTAATAAATAAATGGGCAGATAAATGAAAAAGATTATTTTGAAACTACCTAACAGTGGTGTGGCTGGAGTAAGAAAGGCCTTCCAGACAGTGCCTCCAAAATCTGTCAGAAGAGGACACCTTGTCCTTGTCAAAGCCAGTAAATCCTAGAGACAGATTAAACCTAAGAAGGAAGAATTTTCTTTTCACATTTGCCTTTTTGGGGGCGGGGAGCGGTAGCAATGTTGGCTTGAACACGTGGAGGTATAAATTTAAGATTTCTACTCACCTCCCAAGAAATTAATTTTATATGATGCTTTTACAACGTACAGAGTGCTTTCATTTGTTATATCATGCAATCCTCAAAATATTTTTCTGAGATATGTATTATATGTCCCGGTATTAAGAGAAAAATGAAGTTCAGAGATGTTATTTGTAGAATTTACAGCTGGATGAGCTAGAATGGAAGCTAGTGCTTTTGATTCCAGAATCCTTGGGGTTTTTTTTTTTTTTTTTTTTTTTGTTACATTATAGTATAATTTCCTTTCTAGAAACACATGTAACTACACAACTCAAGAAGTAAGATGTGTGCTGTGGGAGGCTCCTTTCAATTTTCTTTGGTATCGACAATCTTCCTTTTCCTACTCAGCCTATCATGTACAGTCTCTAAACTGTACCCTGCATTTTGCCCCTTGTAACCTCGGGACTACCTACAACATTTTAACTATTGTACCACTGGAAAGGAAAACAAGGGCTCAAATCCAGTGGCTGGGAGTGAATAAAGTAGAGTAGGTAACCTGTCTCCAGTCACTCAACATACATTGTAGAACACGGACTATGCTCTTATTAAACAGAATGATTCAGACTTTATGTATTTAAAGCTCAGTAAGATCAGTGTCCTGTTTCCACCTCTTCAAATACACAAGGTTTCAGACACATTCAGGATGGAAAATTAAAGTTTGGGGTGCATAGGGACTGCAGTAAAGAAGTCTGAAGCCAAAAAAAAAAGTCCAAAGCCTAGGGTGTCTGACTGAGGGATGGGGTCAAGATGAACATATCTGAGTCCCTGTCACATACCAAGCACTGTTCTAAGTGCTTTACATGTATTACCTCATTTAATCTTGTGAAGTTTTTTTTTCCCCCAGATTTATTTGAATCTCTCAGTGTTTACTTTTGAGATTGTTTGAATCCCTTAATGTGTAGTTCTGTCAGCACTTCACCTTGGTGTAAAATATTTGCTTCGTAAATATTTTGATAAAGTCCTTAAGAGCAGGATCTCTGTCATAAGATCCTGCTGAGCACCTTGCTTTGTGAGAAAATAGTACTTGGTATATTTGTCACTGAAACAAATAAGTAGTAGATCATATTCAGACTGAGTTCTGTTCTTCTTTTGGCAGCAAGCTAATGAACAAATTTTCAGTGCACGTTATATGACCTTGAACTTGCCCTACGGTATCACCTTATTTATTTTTTAATTGCTGATACAGATACATCTGTAATAAATATTTGGTTTTTGTGATCAAATACAGTCTCAATTACAAGGCAACTTAGAAGTTAAAATATAAACAGCTTAACACCAGAAATGAAGCAAAATTCTATGTCTTTTTGCAACAGCAACTCTGAAGTTATTTTTATACAGTGTTAACAACAAGGGCATCGACTTCATTATTTTCCAAATTTAAGTTTGGTTTATATATTTTATTGAAACGGTTATTCTCCAAACATTCACATCATTCCATCGGTATCTTCTTCCCACAAACATTTCTTCTACTTTTTAGCTAACTTACTTTTTTTGTTTGTTTCATATTAAAGGATCAAATTTATTTGACTTAAAGTTAATAGAATATGGTTTGAAGCCAGTAGTGTCTCAAAACTTTATCTTAAGCCCAGAGCTTGCCATATCTGAACCCAAAAACCTGACTCTAAGAGAAGTGCACTGTCATTGCTAAAACTTCACCTTATCAGTCGGAATTTTCAATTCCTTAGAATTTCTCAGATTTTAGGTAGTTACCTGCTTTGTGAATTTTTCTGTAGATTTCCAGTGTGAATAGATGTCCAAAATCTGGATATTCAACTGGTATTCTAGCCTTTTAATAACTAACTTGTTTAAATAACCTAAATCTCCATATCATGCAAAGGGGACTGATTCCTGCTTTCAAAGGCATATACAGGAAACCTTGGGTTCAAAGGTAGTAAATAATGATAAGAGCAAATTGCTTGTGATGGTACAGCCGCAGCCTCCATAGTGTACTTGTTTGGCTCAGGTACTCTAGAAATGAGAATTCTCAGAGTTACATAGCAGAGGTGATAGGTTACCACACTACTAGAAAAATAAAAAAGAGTATGGAAGGGGTTTCTATCTTACAATGAGGCAGTGTTAGTATAAGAAGCATTCCAAATATGCCAGCCTTCTTAAATTAATAGCAGACATTCCTTGTATCACTTCCTCAATGTCTCTTATTTCCCAGCTTTTTTTTTTTTTTAAGAGGAAGACAAACCTCAGATTACAATTTTCACCCGAGCATAAACCCCCATTTCTTAAAGAACCTTAGAGGGAAATGCATTTGCACTATATGAGGACTGTTTCATGAGAATTAAACGTAGAAATGAAAAACCAGAGAAGTGGGGCCAAATCCCAGATCTCCCTTTTCCGTTCAAGCATCTGATTTCACTTTTAGAAAAAAAGTTTCATCTCTAGATTCATCATGGCTTTCTCTTTACTGTAACTTGCTGCCCTTTTAATAATAAATATTTGCACCAATGGTGATCTGTTGACATTTGCCCTAAGGTCCTTGCAGGGCTATTTCAGATCTACCGTTCTTGCCATAGGATGAATTTGACTCACAGAATAGTCACCACTATTAAAAAGGCAAGTTCTTGTCTTGGAAGCTGCTGCTTTTCTTTTTTATTTCTCACACACCTTTCTTCCATGAATCAACTCTTTGATGGTAATCCTGGTGAATCACTTCTGTTCATTGTTTCCAAGTTGGTGACAATTTGAATGTTAGCAGTCACTAATCCAGCCCTGTTCTGCCACCCAGGAGTTATCCTCACCATCCCTTCCCTAAATAAAATTCCCTTTCCTTCCAGACCTGGACTTCCTCAGACGCTGGGAAATTACTGAATTTCTCTGTCTCTCAGGAGGGAATGATTATGACATACTTATAATGCCATTAGGAAACGTTGACGATCCCTGATCTTTTTGATAATTTAAGGCCTAGAATTATCAAAAGTCCCAGGTTCACATCCTTCTCCTAAAATGAAAGAAATGGAGGAAACTCCAAGTTTGGTGTAATAATAAGATTATTCTCAACATATTAAGAGAAAACTGATCTAAGCTCCCTTTCTAGTTTAATCAGTCTTAAAATGCTGATTTCGTATGTTCTCAGAAAAGAATGCAATGATCTGTCAGATGACCTTTTAGCAACTCTGAAAGATCTTTCTCTAAAAGACTTCTAAGAACATTGTCAAATGACACACAGTGAATGTTTTTTTTTGCTCCAGAGATCCAGCAGGAAGGTCCTCAGAGGCGTCTGATTTGAGGGACAATCCACAATTATTCCAGCATGTATTTCTGATATCTGTCAGTAACCCTCTGAACATCATTAAGACAGAAAGTTCTTCACAGTCCCCTATCACACATTTTGAATTCCTTTCTCAGTTCCCTTATAGTTGAATAGAAGTGGGAGGTTAGTAGTGGATAGAGGGGGAGAAACTCAAATCATTCTTCACCTCCCACTAGTTCAATTCCTTGTGAAATTAATATCCAAGCCTTATGGTAAATGAAGTCAGGTCAGAAGAAATGTATTTCCTTTTTGAAATTTCTCAGAAGCAATGTGCCCCGTACATGGTGCAGCTAGGTGAAATGTAAGGCTGTGGGTTCCACTTGACTCTGAATAATCACAATAATCCAGTAGGTTTGCAGAAATGCATAGAAAATTTATGAACAACATCTCATTTCTTCTTGACAATGGTGAGCCGAAGTATTGATACAAAACATCTCAGGGGAGAAGTTTTAAGTGTGTTCAGTTCCCCTTTCCCCAACCTTTTCCACCCCAGGTCCTGGTCAACAAATACACAGATTTGGACCCCAGCTCTTCCCCACTCTGGTCTGGAGGCACCATGAGATGCCTTTTTGGAGAGGATCAGTTTACATCCTTTTTCCTGTTTGGTGTCCTATAAAGAAAGTGCTCACTTGAGTGGGTTTCATGCAATGCTCACTGCTACTGAAATGGCCTTTCATCTGGTTGGAGGGGGTTGTGTGGCTGGTGTCTGAGCTTCAAGGACTAGAAGCCTCCTAAGATCCTGACTCTGAGGAAAGCGTGGGAGTCAAGTCCACTCTAACTCAGACGGTTCAGAAGGCTCTGCTCTGGCTGGGGATCATGCTGGGTGCGGTTCTGCTTTGGTCAGGGTAGCATGGTGGACCTTCTTTGGTTCAGAACCCCTCCCCTCTGGCCCCACTAGGCTGTATGTGTGGGTGGCCAGCCCCGGCTGGGGCGCTGCTTCGGTCGACAGTGTCCGCTGGCTGCGTGAGGCACTATTTGCTGTGGAGCGTGTGGAGGAGGAACCCGAGCGCGAGCTCTGAGAGCCTGAGGAAGAGGAACTAGGTTTCACGAGGCGGGCTTTGGGGGCTTCCGCATCTTCCCTGAAGAGAAGAAAACAGCAGAGGTCAACTTTAATCCTGACAAGACCGCGATAGCTTCCACTATGGTTGCTTCCTTCTGAGGTTTCCCAATAAATTCCTCAAGCTGTAAACTTCACGTGATACCACGGGAAGGCAGCCATTTAGGGGATTGGGGACTTGCCCTGTCCCCGAGACTTCATGGCTGACTGACACACATGGACGTTTTCTTAGCCCCGAAGTCAACACTGTTACTCTGGGAGAGTAGGCACTTACCGCTGAGACGGAGTTGGGGTTTGTCTACAAAACCCCTTATTTATTTGTTTGTTTATTTTTTGGTGGGCAGCAAAGCAAGGTTTACTGAGGACTGCAAAGTGATAGTGCAAAGCTCCCAAGGAGGGAGAGGACCCCAGGGGGTTGCCCAACCCTTTTATATTTTTATTTTTTACTTTTTTAAGTCAGCTTCAGACCCTGTGTGGAGCCCAACGCGGGGCTTGAACTCACAACCCTGAGATCAAGAGTAACTGACTGTGCCCACCCAGGCATCCCTACATAAACCCATTCAGTGGCCCAGAGGTTATGCCCATTCTTTATCACAGGCACTGTATAAATGGAAGTGAATCAGAAGTAACATAAAGTTGATCTTTTAATTCTCAGCTGAGGATAGATAGTTTCACAATAAAGGCAAGATAAACCAGACCTTCTGTCCTTAAGCTGGAACTCCTTACCTAATCAGAATAATCATTTTAACAGATTCATAGTTAAGAGGAAATGGGAGGGGCACCTGGCTGGCTCAGTTGGTTAAGGTTAAGGGTCTGCCTCAGCTCAGGTCATGATATCAGGGGCCTGGGATTAAGCCCCAAATTGGGCTCCCTGCTGGGCAGGGAGTCTGCCCTATCCCTCTGCCTCTACCCTGTCACTCCCACCCCCACTGCTGCGTCCCTCTCAAATAAATAAAAAATCTTTAAAAAATATGAGGAAATGGGACATTTATGTTGGCTGGTCACTATAGAGCTAGCTCTGGAAAGGAAGTCTAGTAGAAGGGATGTTGAAGGGAGGTTTACCGAATTTCATTAGGTCTCTCTTCTTCCTCGTATCTCTCTTTGTCTTTCCTTCGGATCAGCAGCCACACCAAGAGGAAAATCAGCAGAGCTCCAGCCACCATGCCCGTCACTGCTCCTGCTATCATGCCGATGCTCTGTACATCTGTTTTCTCAGAAACAAAAGCAGAGGTAAAACGAAACATAAGCCAAGAAATACACGCACTCGGGGACCTGGGTGTCTCAGTCGTTAAGCATCTGCCTTCAGCTCAGGTTATGATCCCAGAGTCCTGGGATCGAGCCCCGCATTAGGCTCCCTGCTCAGCAGGAAGCCTGCTTCTCCCTCTCCCACTGCTTGTGTTCCCTCTCTCGCATGTCTCTCTCTGTCCAGTAAATAAATAAAATCTTAAAAAAAAAAAAGATACAAACTTAAAAAACATAAGCCCTGGGACGCGTGGCTGGTTTAATGGGTGAAGCATGTGACTCGAGTCTCAAGGACTCTTGATTTTGAGGTTGCGAGTTTGAGCCACATTGGGAATAGCATTTACTTAAACAAAAACATAAGCCCCGGACAGGGTGAGTATTTCCAGATCTTTCTATCTTCTTACCCTTGCTGTATGACCAACCCCCTCAATATCAAAAGGTAGCAGATCACGCCACCCCAAAATATGCCTCTGTGACATTAGGACTATTTTAAGCTGGTTTGTTTGAGGTAGGCTCCACACCCAAATTGGGGCTTGAACTCACGGCTCTGAGATCAAGAGTCTGTCCTCTACTGGCTAAGCCAGCCAGGTGCCCCACTTAAGCTGATTATCTCTAAGAAACAGCAGACACAGAGGAGAAGTTCTAGAAACAGAGTAAAAGTTACCCTTTTATAAGGGAAATTTATATTTATAAAGAAAATCTCCATTCGGTCCCCTCCTGGACATAAATTTCTTCAGGAAGCTGACAAATTCGCCCATGTTCCTAAACAGAATTAGCTACCTCAGTGCAACTACTGGATTTATTTTAGTGCTAGCCATGTCCTTCTGGAAATAAAGGTTTCAACCTTGACTTTCCTCTTCCTTGTGATTAAAAGTGTTTTACACGGAACCAATGGGAAAGCAGGAGCGAGCCTGTTGGATACTTACACCGTACAGTGACTCGCACCACACAGCTTTCCTTTCCAGCCTCGTTGCCCGCCGTGCACTGGTAGAGCCCAGAGGACGACATGGTGAGATTGTGCAGCAGAACTCGTCCAGGGTTACTGTAGTCTACACACAAGCAGAAGGATGACTGTAATCCTCTTAGTCACAGGGTCTCTGTCTACTGCTCACCTTACTGCATCATTGACCTAGGATTCTCTAATACAGTGTGGAAGGATGAAATGATCGATTTTTTTGGAATGTGGAAAGGAAGGTGAACATTCTTTGAAACTGCACATCCTCCAGACTTAACAAAAGACTGGGAATGTGGGAGGGACAGTAAGCATCGTAATTAGCTATCATGGATACCCGCTACATCTCCCCCTTGCTTCTGCCACTTTTATGTGCCATTTGAGGAAAGAAAAGACGGGTGGTTTTTCTTATTTTTTTGTTTGTTTGTTTGTTTTCTGTCCAGGTTGACGGATGAAAAATAGAAGCTCAAAGAGGTTCGGCAGTGCGTTCAAGGTCACATGGTGAGTTGCTGACCAAACGGGACTCCAAGTTCAAGGCTAGAGTACCATTCTGTTGTCTCAGCAGACTGGCGGAGAGATGACTTACCAATCCTGGACTTGGGAGGGAGACGCTCATCCTCTCCCTCCTTCTCCCGGAGTCGCTGCCAGTAATACATGATGGGCTTTGTGCCAGAGGCTGACTCACACTGCAGAGTGACGTCACTTCCTTCTGTCTGCTCTCCTTCCAACTCGCATTTGGGCTTTGATGGTCTCACTGGCAAAAGGAAAAAGCTTCAAAGATCACCAAACACCCGATTCAGTGGAAGACCCGTGTCCCGTTGAGCTGCTTCTCTAGCCATCTGTTACGGTCCACTGCTGAGTGGGTCTTTTGGTATGTAACCATGCTTTACAGCACCCCCAAAATACACCCTCCTCCACCCCCCTACACACACATACACCCCATCCCAGCACCTTCTGCCGGTGCCACTGTAATTTTCAGAGGCTGCCCCAGAAACTCCCTCGCCCCCTCTCAAGACACCTTTCAAAGTTGAGTGTGATTTTATTAATACTGAAACAGGGACAGAAACCCATTCACTTGGACGCAATTAAATAGAACTTAGTAGCTTTTGCTGCCAGAAACCAGAAATGGAGTTGAATTGTATCTGAGAGATGTAAGGTAAATACAAGAATGCCATTTAAACATGAGAGGATATTTAAACTTTGTAAGTGGGCTCCCATGGAAAATCGTGATTATTCTTTCTTCTTTCATTATGTCTAAAATGTAGAACGTACTTCTTCCCAGGAAACTGGACTATGGGGCATTTGGCTGTTCCTCACAGAGACCGTATTAATGAGATGGAGGTGTTTACCTTGGCACTCTAGCTTACCTAAGACTTTCAAGATGACATGACTCCACACGTAGCGCCCTGAATTCTTCACCTTGCAGCTGTACCGGCCCTCATCGCTGGGCTTCAGAGGCTCTATCTGCAGGGAGGCGTCTCCTGCCAAGAAATTGGAAGCAAAGGCCACTCGGCCCTTCTGCTCCTCTGTCAGGTTACTGTAGACATGACGGCTGGAGTAAGTGATCACCTGGGGGACAGACCAAGGCAGGGTGTCAAGCAGTGCGGATCTCGGCCTTCATCTTTTGCTGATGTCAAGATGAGGAAAGGGAACACTCCTAATGGAAGAAAGCAGTCATGCCCAAAGCTGATATCTAAGGGTCAAGAGACCTTTTGTTCTAAATGAAGTTAAAAGTACAACATGTTGGGGCGCCTGGGTGGCTCAGTGGGTTAAAGCCTCTGCTTTCAGCTCAGGTCATGATCCCAGGGTCCTGGGATAGAGCCCCGAGTTGGAATCTCTGCTTAGCAAGGAGCCTGCTTCCTCCTCTCTCTCTTTCTTTGTCTGCCTCTCTGCCTACTTGTGGTCTCTGTCAAATAAATAAATAAAATCTTAAAAAAAAAAAAAGATTTTAAAAGTACGACATGTTTGTCTAGGCCTCCTTCTCCTTCCCAAGATAATACCTCTTTTTGTGTGTGTAGCATTTTAATTACGAAGTAGTAATTGTTTCATTAAATGCTCAGAGCCATTTCATTTCATAGGTAAGGGATTTTTGCATTTGAATTACATGTTCAGTGTAGTTCACACAGCTAAGTCAAGGGAGGAAGGGAATGCATCATAAATGCATATAAGAGTATCAAGAGTTGGGGGCGCCTGGGTGGCTCAGCGGGTTAAGCCTCTGCCTTTGGCTCAGGTCATGATCTCAGGGTCCTGGGATCAAGCCCCACATCGGGCTCCCTGCTCAGCAGGAAGCCTGCTTCCCCCTCTCTCTCTGCCTACTTGTGATCTCTCTCTGTGTGTGAAATAAATACATAAATCTTTAAAAAAAAAAAAAGTATCAAGAGTTGACTGTGAGGAGATTTGGCAGAAAAGGATGGAGAAGAGATCTACCTTCCCCCTGCAAACCCCCCCTTTTTTTCTTTTTGAGAGAGAGAGCATGTAGGCTCTACAGCCAGCCCAGTGCAGAGCCCAACACAGAGCTTGATCCCACCACCTTGAGATCATGACCTCAGCCGGAATCAAGAGTCAGATGCTCAACAGACGGAACCACCCAGGTGTCCCTCCCCTGCATACCCTTTCTGACTTTTTAATTTCCCACCACCTGCATGTGAGCTATTCAAAATACGCTACACTCCTTTTGCTCAGCAATTTTACACCTGGTTTATTTCTCACATAGTGTTTTTGCAAGTTAAGTAGTTTCTCCCCTTCTCTGTGGTTTCACTTCCTGTGGTTTCAGTACCCGAGGTCCAGAAGCAGATGATCCTCCTTCTGCCATATTGTCAGAAGGCCAGCTGTGTGATAACACCGTGCACAATGCCTGTGTCGTCTCCCCACGCTCTGTCTCATCACAGAGGCACTGTATCATCTCACATCACAAGGCAAAGGGTGGGTATGGTACAATAAGATTTTCAAGGAGGGAGAGAAAAACCACATTCTCATAATTTTTAAATTATTTTATTAATTATTCTTAATTTCCTACTGTGCCTAATTTATTTATTTATTTTTTAAAAGATTTTATTTACTTGACAGACAGAGATCACAAGTAGGCAGAGAGGCAGGCAGAGAGAGAGGGGAAGCAGGCTCCCCACCAACCAGAAAGCCCAATGTGGGGCTCCATCCCAGGACCCTGGCACCATGACCTGAGCCAAAGGCAGAGGCTTTAACCCACTGAGCCACCCAGGTGCCCCTGTGCCTAATTTATAAATTAAACATTACCATAGGTATATACGTATAAAAGAAACATAGTATATATAGGATTTGGTACTATTCATGGTTTCAGGCATCCAGGGGTGATTTTGGAACATATCCTGCACAGATAAGAGGGTAATACTGTAGGCATTATCCCCATCTCACAGGTAAGTAGCAGAACCGGGATTTTGAAAATAACCATCTAAGGCCATTTAGGTCATGGTCAAGGTATACCAGTTACCTCCCACTTCCTATGGCCATCTGCATTCATTACACGGCTCATTAAGTCCTCTTCCAGAAAGTTTAGAAATGAAGGTGGAAAAGTGACACTATAAAATCAATCTGTTTTGTTCTTTTTTTTTTTAAGATTTTATTTATTTATTTGACAGAGAGAGAGATCACAAGTAGGCAGAGAGGCAGGCAGAGAGAAAGGGGGAAGCAGGCTCCCTGCTGAGCAGAGAGTCCGATGCGGGGCTCGATCCCAGGACCCTGAGATCATGACCTGAGCCAAAGGCAGAGGCCTAACCCACTCAGCCACCCAAGCACCCCAATCTGTTTTGTTCTTACAAAAGCGTGAAGTCCAGTCGAAGGGACTGGAAGAGTTAAAGAGTAGAAGTCAACGCTTAAAATTCAGGTCTGATACCAAGGACTTCATTATTCGGCTTTCCTTTTGGGAGGCTTCACTGCCGATTAGTAAGAGGAAGTCAGTTGGGAAAAGATTATATCCCTTCCTACCATAAAATATGTATGAGGTCATGTCTTTGTTTTCCCAGGCAGGGACACCAAAGTTTAGATTACTCTAACAACAACAACAACAACAAAATCCTGGAGCACCTGGCTGGCTCAAACGATACAGCATGCCAGTCTTGATCTTGGGATCGTGTGTTCAAGCCCCACTTTGGGAATGGAACCTACTTAAAAAGTAATAATAATAATCTTGAGTATTAGTGAAATTTCATCTGCCTGCATCATAGCCTATAGGCTTGGAGATTTTTTTCAGATTTTTAAATTTATTTTTTCAGAGTAAGAGATCGAGCAAGTGTGAGTGGGGTGAGGGGCAGAGGGAGAAGGAGACTCCCCACTGACGAGGACCCTGGGATCATGACCTGAGCTGAAGGCAGATGCTTAACCAACTGAGTCACTCCGGCGCTCTAGCCTACATGGTTCTGGAATCTTCCCTGGTTCTGTGTGTCCATCACCTCACTCCTATTAGTCACAAAAACTGTGCTGTTCTAGTCCACCAAGACCTCAAATTATATAACTTCAGCTTTGGCCATTCTGCCACTCAGCATATGCTTAAACTCATTTGATTTTAAATGTCAGCGAACAGTTATGGGACAACTGCTTCCCATCAAGTCACAGGGAAGCTATTCAGATGAGTAAAAAACCCTCTTCCTGTCTTCAAGTAATTTATAATCTAATGGGATTAGCAAGGAGAGAAGTATAAACATAGAAAAAGGATTAATGAACTTGAAATAGTATCAGAGAGAATGTCCCAGAAAAGTTGGAGGCATTTGAGTTAGGCTTTGCAAGACAAGCAGACTAAATGAGAGATGATAAAGTCAGGGAGAAGGCTGCGGGGAGCATTCCAGATACACAGAAGGACACTAAAAACAGGCACACAAGCATTCGGGAGTCTCCCGAGCACATTTCTAGCTGCAGCTGTTCAAATTGTTTCCCTCTGCTCAAGTCCTGAACTCCATCCTCAATCACGTGACGCCTTGCAACACATCAGATGCTTTCCTGAAAAGACTTGAACCCAGCCAATAAAATGTCCATCAGATCTCTCTCGATTATATCAAAATTCTTCAGTATCATCCATTTTGCCCTCACCATTTTTCTTTCTTTTTTTTTTTTTTTTAAGATTTTATTTATGTATTTGACCAAGAGAGATCACAAGTAGGCATAGAGGCAGGCGGAGAGAGAGGAGGAAGCAGGCTCCCTGTTGAGCAGAGAGCCTGATGTGGGGTCGATCCCAGGACCCTGAGATCATGATCTGAACGGAAGGTGAGGGTTAACCTACTGAGCCACCCAGGCACCCCACCCTTACCATCTTCCTGACAAATGTGTTTTTTCTTTTCTCTTCATGCTCTTTTTCATTGGCAAATTATTTATTGAGCTCACAGGCCAGAGTACTGTGCCAGGTGCTGGAAAACAAGCAGGGATAAGACCCAGCTCTTACCCTGTGGACTTCACAGTCTTCGGTGGGGAGGGGGGCAGGTGAGATGGGGGAAAAGAAAGTAAGAGAAAAGTAAAGGTAGACACTGTAGCTGATAATCAATTTAAGACATTTTCCGTTATCCAGCTTTGCCCACTCCCTTCAACCAGCACGGCTGCTGTGATAATTCTCATATCCTTATCTCTATCCTGACTCAGTTTTGAACTCTGGTTTACCACTTCCAGCTGTCTGGCAGTTGTGTATTTCTGCCCACTCCAATCTACCTTATTATATCACGATGTAAGTGGATGCCAAGTTAACAGTAACGTAAAACTCACATCAGCTCTTTTCCAGCTCAGAACTCTTCGTGGTTCCCTCTACCTCTGAATGAGGACAGGATTCAGTCTATAGTTCTCGGCATTGACTTCTGCGTTACCTTCCCAGTCCCATTTCCTCTTTTGTCCACCTCCCTGGGCACCGTCAGGTAACACTGCCTCCCTTTCTTTAGTATGATTCATGCCCTCTTGTACTCAATGCCTTTGCCCACTGCATTTTTCCATAGAGAAACTCCTTCTTCTCCATCTCTTGACATGAAGAACTCCTATTCATTCTTTCTGGGTGCCTTGGTGGCTCAGTCTATTAAGTGTCCAACTCTTGATTTCAGCCCAGGTCATGATCTCGGGGTCATGAGATCGAGCCCCTTGTTGGGTTCCATGCTCAGCAGGGAGTTTGCTTAGGATTCTCTCCCTCTGCCCCTCTCCCACTCCTTCTCTCTCTCTCTCCCCCCTGTATCTCCCTCTCAAATAAATAAATCTTCAAAAAAATAATAATTTCCTTTTATTCTTCTAAGTCCCAAATCAATCTTAACCTCTTACGAAACCTTCCAGGTTATGACACTCAGACTAATGGCCTCTTCCCTCCCCACTCCCAACTCTTTGCATCTTTGCAGCATTTTTATGAGAGGAGAAATGGTGAAAGACTTGGGCACATAGATTGCTAGATCCCCTTCCTATCATGCTGGGTGTGGACCAGGAGACCCTTGGGACATTCTGGCTATATATATGTCTGTTGCCCTTAATTGTCTTTGGCTAGGCTAGAATGCAATTCTGCAAGCCTTTATTGAATACACATTTACTGAAAACATACTCCGTGCTTAGCACTGTGCTAGAGATGATATCAATACAAA